TCGCGGGTCGTAAAAAAGCTCTAAACCGTGTATTTTATTGAGTCGCGGGTTGAATAAAGTGTGTAAAAATCACATTAACATATTTTTTATCAATAGTTGTTCGAAGATGTTATGGTAGTTTTAATTAACTTACGGGAGAATTTACGGCTGTACACAGGCTAATGTTATGGCTGCATTGCGAGTTTCTAGATAAATATAGATATCAGTATATATATATATATATATATATATATATATATATATATATATATATATATATATATATATATATATATATATATATATATATATATCGGTTTTTGAGTTGTTTTCAGACGAGTGCATGTATACCAAGCCGGGCAAGTAGAAAACTGTTCTACTTGACCGCGGCTGGGATTCGAACCCGCGACCTCCGCATTTCTAGAACGATGTTCTACCTTCCGAACTAACAAGGTCAAGCTGAAAACGACTTGTTAAGTTATGATGTTAGTCGCATTTCGGAGGTTAGTCCTTCAATGCGTAAAGCCAGCTATTAGTCTGGCAATTAATGTTGTATGTGAATGTTGTGGTTTCCCACGTTGACGATTCCATTCGTGTAATGTTATGTAGCGGTTTTTGAGTTGTTTTCTTATAAATATTTCTAATTATAGCACATTTCTCCAGTCCACTATAGCTGTGATCGACCCTGTAAAGTGACAATCACGACCGGAAATTCCTCAGAAAAATGTACATGTCGCTAAGCATGACGACCCGCACGTTTTGAAAAACAGCGGGATCTGCAAACTGAGTTTGCAACTTCAGGAAGCGAGCAACGCTAATCGCATTATTAATTACCGCTATAAGATGTCATCAATCCAGGTTCAGTTGGTTAGACGCTGTGTGAAACCAAGCAAGTAATAAGTTAATTTTCTGTTATGCATTAAAATAAAAGTGTACAAATATGTCACAATGCTGACTGTTGACAAGTCACCTAGGGTCAGGCTATACTATATAGCGTACAATGTGTAATAAGGCTGCGTATAATATGTAATATTAAGACTTGTGTGTTGTAAAACAAAACGTTCTTGGTATCTTAGAGAATAGCACGATAATTCCATGTCAAGACCGCGGAACATATTTGCCGTTTTAGATCTTGGCAGTATAAAAAGTCCGGCTTCAAAGGCGTAAGTTTTCTATGGCTAAATAATAAAGAAACTGACTTATAAAGTTATATAATTATACCGCCCTTCCCTATAGGCCCTAGTGCGCACATGAATCTGGTACAAACGTTTTCACTAACGTATATATCAGATGTACATATTATTCCAAAAACAATAGCTGCATTGACACAATTGTCTTAGCTAATCTACGGAATCTACGCCCGCGCCTGCGTTGTGAGGTAAAGAATAATATAAGATTCCTTTTAAGCTTCCACTGGTTAAGAAAAGATGGTACATCTTCGTAACCTGTCAGCAAAAGATGGGTCATCTTTCTGACACAAGAGTTTTCACTAAAAGTATTCTAGATATTATTCCAAAACCTATAGCGCAAGCTGCATCGCCTTACTCTAACTTAGCCTGATGTAAAGAATAATATAAGACTCCTTTTAAGCTTCCACTGGTTAAGAAAAGAGGGGACATCTTCATAACCTGTCAGCAAAAGATGGGACATCTTTCTGACACAAGAGTTTTCACTAAAAGTATTCTAGATATTATTCCAAAACCTATAGCGCAAGCTGCATCGCCTTACTCTAACTTAGCCTGATGTAAAGAATAATATAAGACTCCTTTTAAGCTTCAACTGGTTAAGAAAAGATGGGACATCTTCATAACCTGTCAGCAAAAGATGGGACATCTTTCTGACACAAGAGTTTTCACTAAAAGTATTCTGGATATTATTCCAAAACCTATAGCGCAAGCTGCATCGCCTTACTCTAACTTAGCCTGATGTAAAGAATAATATAAGACTCCTTTTAAGCTTCCACTGGTTAAGGAAAGATGGGACATCTTCATAACCTGTCAGCAAAAGATGGGACATCTTTCTGACACAAGAGTTTTCACTAAAAGTATTCTAGATATTATTCCAAAACCTAGCGCTGTCGATGTGGCATACTCCAAATTTGATATTTCAACTATACTCTATAGGTATAGCCACAAAAAATTGGATATTGTCAAATCTGAAAGCCAGGGGTACGGCTCATCTCCGCGTTTACTCATCACTAGCTCGCCCGGGAAATAATCTGGCGATGCCCAGCGTAATGTCTAATGAGAATGATATCAAATTTAGTTCAATGGGCCATTTTAGACTAATTTTCGATTCTTTTGAAAATGCTTACGCAAGTTTAATTTAAACGCTGATATCTCAGTCAATATTTCGTGATATCTCATGTATAACCTATCAAAATTTAAGTTAGCCTTTTATGAATACAGCTACATTTATTTGAGCGATGTATAGCTCTTATAGTTTTTTCGCTATGGTAGATCAAACGCCTGAACTTTTTTGCGCCACCCGGTATATATATGTAAATAAATATTATTTGTCTTGTGCTACCTTGTATCAAAATATAGAAATGAGTATATTAAATAACGAATATAGTACAATCAACTCGCGGTTGTGATAGCCCTGCTTGAAAGCCGTGGTATCTAGCATACTGTATACTAAAGAAATAATAACTGATGCGTGCTGCAATACCTATAGGCTATAGCCTTTTGACTATTACCTAACCTTACTGATTGAAAATACTTCGCATTAATCTTTAATCTTTATTCTTTGATAAGCAGCCATCAAAATATTGCCAGTTTGTTCGATCTTGATCTCCATCCTGAATCCATACACACGATTGTCAAGCAGAATGCACTCTTCTTCAGACCATTTTGGCGCAATTTGAACTTTGCGCGGCATTGTCTGCTAACATTATTATGAATTGGTGATGACAACCTGGTTTGTATGTTAGCTCAGTTAGTTATTTGCTACATCATATCTATGGGGTTAAATTTCATGCACGCATAAATTATTTCACTATAAATTTATTATACATGTCACCACTCTTACCACCTCGACTAATAATGCTGTGGTAACTAACACCTTCAAGATAATTCAATTTATAGGCGTGCGGGTCGTCATGGAGTAACGGTTCTTTGATGACGTTTTCATGTCGCTTCAGCGCGTCTCTCCGTGTAAAAGACTCACTGCACTGATCACAAACAAACTTCTTGTCTCCATGAATAGACCGTTCGTGACGAGTTAAACTTCTCAGCTGAGTAAACTTTTTCGAACAAGTCTTGCAAGTGTAATGCATTCTACAAACAGAGTAAACTGTTATTTACTGTCGTGAACAATGACTTTAATTAATATAATTCTACGTAATTGCTATTTCGTTCGTTGCTAGACTTTCCCAAGGAGCACCTCAGATTCTTTCTTCATAGGTGCTGCCAACAAGGGCACAGCAACTACTTGGAAGTGAATTATAAATTTATCATTAAAAAGAATTGATCTTAAAATGTCTTACCTTATTTAACTTCTATCAATAGACAGTCAATACAACAATTCTTTAGCAACTTTTGCAATGACCAATCGACTATCCGAGTTTTTACTTAATTTCCAATTTCCGAATTCCAATCAAACCACCAAATATATACAGAAAACTTCAGCCGTTTGATTGTGGGAGAGCTATTTAATAAAAATATGTGTTGCGCATGCGCACTAACAACTGCGACGGATTTTTATTGAGCGTGCTTGTTCTTGCCTGTTCCATGCCGTGTGCGTTGTCATATTAAAGAAATAATATATATAATTTGCATTTTCATAGATGTTAAAATACTAACCTAATATTTATTCTTATTACGACGTTTAGACAGACATTTATGAGATGTCATACATAAGTAAAACATTTTGTGTGGCTTTACACATACAAATAAACAAATATCAGTGAGTCAAACACGCTAAAGACTAAAGTATAGAGTACAGCATCCTGAAATAAACCATAAAAACTGCAGATAAACAAACAACGACGAAGTAGCCAAAAACTTGTAAACTAAAAACCTGCGTTTCTCATGCACTCATTGCCATTGATATTGGCGATCGCGAGCGGATTTCCCAACAGGCTATTGTCCAATTGACCTACGATTTTAACGTCCTTATCCGAGAAGACGCGAAAATACAACCATTTACTAATGTCAATGCAAAGGCAGCACATTCTCCTCAATTATTTTTTACGGCTTGATTCGAGTTTTACTGATGACTTTATTAATTTAGATAACTATGACATAATTAGAAAAGACAGATCGCGAAACGGAGGTGGTGTCTGCATATATTTACGTAGCTCTATCAATTACAAAATTCGATCTTACCATATTTCATCTGATTTAGAGGCTGTTTGTGTAGAAATTACTAAACCACACAGTCGTCCATTTATTGTTACAACTGTTTACAGACCTCCCAATGCATCATCAGATTTCTTTGACCATTTTGAAAAGCTGATCGAACAAATCGATGATGAGGATAAAGAAATGTATTTGATGGGTGATCTAAATTGTGACATGTTAAAAAAGGAAAAGCTTTCTAATAACATGCCAACGAAAAAACTAAACTCAATATATGAGTTATACCAATTATCTCAATTAATTGATGAAGCTACCCGAATTACTATGACAACATCTAGCCTTATTGACCATATTACTACCAATACCACTGAAAAAATTTCCCATTGTGGTGTTATTCACACCGGAATCAGCGATCACAGTTTAGTATTTGCAATCAGAAAAATCCGAGTTGTGCAAAGAAATGAAAAAAACTGTGTTGAAATAAGAAATATGAAAAAATTTGATGAAAAAAGTTCATAGATGAACTTTTAAATCAGCATTGGGATTATGTCTATTTTTTTGGCGATGATCCGAATGCTATGTGGGAAATTTGGAAGGAACTTTTTCTTGAAGTATTAGATAAGCATGCACCACTCCAACAAAAAAAGGTTAGATCTAACAAGGTTCCTTGGATCACAAGTGAAATTAAAAACCTCATTAATAAAAGAGACAAATTAAAAAGAAAAGCAATTATAAGTAAATCAGAAATAGATTGGATAAATTACAAAACATCTAGAAATCAGGTTAATATTGAATTAAGAAATGCCAAGCAAAACTATTATTTCATGAAAATTGCAGGTCAAAAATGTAATCCAAAAAAAGCCTGGAAATCAATAAACAACCTACTAGGCAAACAAACCAAACAGACAGTTGTGAACGAATTAGATATGGGTGAAAGTACTTTAAACAATCCGCAGGATATTGCGGAAGGCTTCAATGAATATTTTTCAAATATTGGGCCTGATTTAGCAAGTAAAATTGATACGTCCAGTTGCAATTTTAAGGCATATGTCAAAAAAGCTACATCAGAATTTGCTGCATTCCAATCTACAACTGTAAATGACATCGTTCATTTATTATGTGGATTATCAACCAATAAAGCGACCAGCATTGATAAGATTTCGTGTAAAATGATTAAAATAGCTGCACCTGCCATTTCAGATTCACTGACATTTATTTTTAATCAGGCTATTACTTTATCTTCTTTTCCTGATGAATGGAAAATGGCTAGAGTAACACCTCTTTATAAAAATGGCCAACGAAATATTCCAGGAAACTACAGGCCAATTTCAGTTTTACCAGCAATAAGCAAAATCATGGAAAGAATTCTGTATAACCAACTATACAATTATTTAACCAAATTTGGATTATTAAGTAATTCACAATTTGGTTTCCGGAAATCTCACTCAACAGCCACAGCATTACTAAACTGCACAAACGAGTGGTATGTAAATTTAGATAGAAAACTATTTAACTTAATAGTTTTTATTGATTTAAAAAAAGCATTTGACCCTGTTGATCACAATATTCTACTAGAAAAGTTGGAGTTTTATGGAATAAAAGGACAAGCTCTTTCTTTCCTAAAATCCTATCTCACAAATCGTAGCCAGAAGTGCAAAATAAATGGATTTGTTTCATCGGAGCGCTTAATTAGATGTGGTGTACCACAAGGTTCTATTTTAGGACCATTATTGTTTTTATTATACATCAATGACTTACCCGAGTGCCTTGATAATACAAGACCTCGCCTATTTGCTGATGATACAAGTCTCACAGCTTCTGGAGACTCAATGACCGATGTTGAAATTGCAGTAAATTCTGATCTAGAAAATCTTAGAAACTGGTTGATGGCCAATAAACTTAGCTTGAATGTAGCTAAAACTGAATTCATGTTGATTGGCTCAAAACGAATGATAAAAAATTTTCACCCAAATATTATTATTGAAAACAAACAAATTAAACAAGTTTATGAATGCAAAACTCTTGGAATAATAGTTGACCAGCGTTTATCTTGGAAAAGTAATACTGAAAATATTTGCAAGAAAATAACATCCGGAATCTCTGCTCTCCGTCGTGTTAAACCTTTTGTTAATAGAGATACACTTATCTCAATATATAATGCTATTGTTCGTCCACATTTCGATTATTGTTGTGAAGTGTGGGATGTGTTTGGTGAAACACAGTCAAAACGACTTCAGAAACTTCAAAATAGAGCTGCTCGAATTATCATGAGTATGAGCAACGATATAGATCACACTATTGCTTTACAGGCTTTGGGCTGGGAGCCACTTCAGTCAATAAGAGAAAAGACAAAAGCAAAACTAATGTACAAAATTCTGAATAAGATGGGCCCTGAGTCAAATTCTGAATAAGATGGGCCCTGATGACAAATTACAAACTTCGGGACATTTCCAGTGGTCTTTGTTTACCACAACCTCGAACAAATAAAGTGAAAAATAGTTTCATGTATAACGGAGCTCACTTATGGAACTCTATTCCAAATGAAATTAGGGAAAGCAAATCCCTGTCATGTTTTGAAAATAAAATTACTACTCACATTCTTTAACTAAAACAAGATCCTAAGAAACTGAAAACCTAAAATACTTGTAAATATATATATGACTTACTTATAGTTTATATAACTTAGTTGATATTATACAGGGTGTATCAAAATAAACGCAATTCATCTTTTGTGCTTAATAACTTTCGAAATACTATTTCTAGTTAAACGCTTTTAGGCTTACTTCAAAGCCTGTTCTTTTCTCTTCCAAACAAACTATTATCCTTGTCTCCAATGCTAGTAATAATTGCACAGGAAAAGATTTAGTAAAACCTATCATTTTTAGTTGCTGTTTAATTATGCAAGTTTACTATGTTATTGTTTAGTCGGTTTAAATGTTAGAATTTTCTTCTTTAAACTTTAATGTTGTCGTCACTATATCTGGAAAACCACGTAAGAACAAATTAAAAGTATTTTAAAAGAGACCAGGTTGTTTGAAAATCCTAAACGAATGCTAAAAATCATAGAATCAAAACATTCTGGTGTCTGAGCCAGAGTGTCATCGAATTGCGATGTAATGTAAACAGAAATTATAGTAAGCTGATGTCAGTCAGCTTAGATGGTCCAAACCAAAATTATATCGCATTTGAAGTTACAAACTGTGTTAAAAATAGTGGAAGAAAAGCCGTAATTATACTTATTGTTACAATCCATTTATTAAAGTGCAACATTTTCTTGTTTTAATGAAAAAATCAGTTATTTTCATGAGAACGATTTGTTATTCTATCTCAATTTTTTTAATCTCCAATCGCAATAACGTAAAGTATTATTACCCGCGAACCAATGAGTCAAATTTAAGAAACAACCCACTGTTAGAAAGCTGAATGGCTACGTTTTAAAATGAATGTAAACTTTAACGTTTTCGTCTATTATTTGTTTAGCAATTTACATTTCAGTCCAGGATTGCGCTTTTTTTGATACACCCTGTAGATTGTAAATAGCTTTAAATACCTTATACTATATTTGTAATTCCTTTTTACACGCCCCCTGTGGAATTCAGCCTCGGTTGACAGGGTTAGCGTGGATAAATAAAGTTTTTCTATCTATCCTTCTCTAAGACCCACGACACGTGTTGGTTGTGGCAGCAATGCAGTAGAAATGAACTAAAAACTGCAGATATGTTTAGCGGTGAACTGAAGCAGCTATAGGAATTATTAACTAAAATTAAAAATCTGTATATAAATTATAAACGACAATGAAGTAACCAGAAATAAAAAAAAACTATAGATAGACAAACGACAGCGAACAAGCCAGAAATAAAAACTGTAGATAATCAAACAGTAGCAAAGGAGACAGAAATAAAAACTATTATATATGTTTATATTATAGACAAACAAACGGCAACATACTGACTGCTGAGTACTGTGTGCAATCAACTAACATTGGCATTGCAGAATAAACGGTAATGAAGTAACCAGACATTACCCAAACGATGTAGATGAATAAACGGTAGCGAAATAGCCTGACATAAACTGAAAATTGCTGTAGTAACAAACGACAGAGAAGTAGACAGAAATCAGAACTAAAAATTGTAGATAAACAAACGGCAGCGGTTCAAATATATCAAGTAAGCTCGAATAAATTAACGTGAGTGTGAATAAATTAAATGACTTATGACGTCATCGGTGGTGCTGAGTGCACCACCTGCACCACCTGAGCCAGAACCCCTCTTCCCTATGCTACTTTCCCCCTATTCTGACAGCCTGCTTTCTATTGCCAAGGAAAGCTTTAATCCGATTTGGGAGCTCGTCTGGTCCCACAGATTTCGCTACCTGCAGAGATGACAACGATCGATAAACTTCTGCTTCAGAAAAAAGAAAGCAAAAACGGTGGAAAGTTCTCAATTATGCTCAAGAAGGAGTCATTAACTTTGTCTGCGAGTACCCCGCATACTGTTCTTCCCTCGGTGGGCCTGCACGCGGGCTAGTCTGCGAGTATCTTAATATTTTCATTGTCACCAAGAAATTTGGTGATGCCACTCCTGTGATAAATGTTGTGTCCCATAACACTTTTTATTTGTTTTCACCATTTCCGGGGATCAGTCTGACCCAATTCTATAAGTTCATGAGTACAAGATGTGACTTGGCCCATTTAATTTCCCTGCAAAATTTTCATCTATAAACTCGGTATCTAACGCGGTTACGAACCTGCTAAATTTGGATCTCGTTTTTCTGTACGCCTTGTATATCTGCAGAAAGAACTTTAGCTATCCGGCAAATGGCTGAATCAGATATTAACTAGAAAATACATGCATGCAGAAACCCTCGCCTTGCTGACAAAACCATTGTATTTTCCGAACATGAAGTATCTAAAGTTGTTCTCATGGTAACCCGATAATTTTTTAAGAATAATCTTACAAATGAAAAATCGCCTAAAAATATCACTTTTAATTACAAAATTATCAATTTCCCAACATATATATGTTAGGTATGTTATTATACGTAATATAAGCTTCCATTCAAGGTAAAATTCAACCACAAACGCAAATCGTTTTAAAGTGTTCTTTATAAAACTAAACTGCCTTTAATAATTAAATAGCTTTATAAACTTTGAGTTTGCAATAAAATGATTTCAAATTCTCGCATGCGAATAACTTTGCTTTCTTTTTTATTTAAAAAAATCAATATAATAAAAAAGGGAATCAATATTAAAGATACACTGAAATTATATATGCTGTCTTGTTTAGTTGTTTCATATACGCAAAGGCCGTCGGAGTTTTAAACCATTACAAAATCAATATTTAAAACAAACTTATCTTCGTTAACGTCGGCTCCCTTCTTTTAGCCGATTCTTTCGCCCTTTCTTTATGGGAAAGCTTTTGAAATTTACAAAATCTTGCAAAAATGCGAGCAAAAATGAAATATATTTGCAAGAAATTTATAAATCATCAAATCAAGAAATGTTTGCTATTTCGCTGTCGTCATGCAGTCGTTATAATGCGAACTTTAAATTGGATCAATCAGTGTCTGCTATTCATGACAGTCCGCCATATTTTTGAGATCAGTGAGGATGACCTCCCACCCAACACCCCAACATCGTTGGTCACCCACGCCCGCGATAATTGATGAACTTTAGTCTTCGCTAATGCTTTCGTTTCCCCGGGTGTAAATAGCCGGGGGGAAATAGTACCCTCGCACGGCGCTTCGCGCCGTCGGCTCGGGGATAACTGAAATTGATGGTCTCAGTACCCGTCATTTACGCTAAAGCAACTTTAAATTAATACAACTATACGCAGTTACGCGCGGAGCATGAAACTACAATATTACAATAAAACTTCAATTTCCGCTATGGCTTCAATTTCGGAACGTGAATTCTCACTCCATACAAACATAGAGTTCACTGGTGCAGCCAAGCGGCTATAGCCATGGGCATTATACTGAAACCGTGCATTTATTTTAAGATATTAATTTAATTAAACAAGAGGCCACATTTTAATATCCACGGGCAAATTTTCCGACTATTTCAAAGGACGCTATATTATATAAGCAAACAAAAGCTGTCGAGGAAATGTACGTTGGAATAATTTGGTCGTCGGTATCGATGCTTAACGAACTTACATGTTGTCGATTTTTCATTTTAATTGGTCATATTATGAACAGGCAATATTTCTTAAATTTTGCAATAAGTTTCTGTTGTTAATTATTGTATACAAAGAGAACTATTAAAATAAACAAATATTTAGATATATACTGCAAAAGAATAAACACTTTATTTTCACCGCCATGCAACCACTTCATTAATGACGTTGTATACACAGTGTTACAGCTGCAGCAGGAAATTCTCGAGTGTTGGAAATTTAATCTGTTTCAGCCGGCGTACTGATGCACGAATAAGTCTTTGTGTACGCTGCAACAAGTCAATATACTGCCTGTTTATAGTCTGGTATTGATCACATTTAATATACACTAAACTAACAGCAAGTTTAACCGAAAACCTGGAAGGGACATATACATAACTTCTGTTCAAAAGAACATGGCAAACGAGATTTATCGTGAGCCTTGTAAACACTGGATTCAACGTTTTGGTCCTATTCTTCTGAGTTTTTGGTTCATGATATTTTTGAATTTGCAGTCATTTGGAGAAGGGCTCGATTTTTGTTTCGACGCATCTAAAGAAGGTGGGTTTTGGAAACCTTTAATTTATATAAAAACTCGTAATTCATCCTTAAATTAACATAAGTACGTTTAAATTAAACACGAAATTTATGTGAGCACGAATTGGCGCATGCAATGGCTGCATTATAATGGTATCTTTTATAACATATAGCGGAGTGGTTAAGATTCAAGGAACGTCGTAAATGAACTAGGTAGCAGTATATTTAAAGGATATTAATTTGGCACGCGAAAAATTAAGAACATCAATTGATTAAATAGCAGGAGCTGGTTGTATAAAAGACCTAACTACATTTTAGCTATCCGCCGGTTTTGTAGTTAGAACTAAATTGTAGTTAATTCTAAGATACGCAATCGTACTAGTCAACTTTTCCACTAGCTATAGTTAACTTTAACTACTTTTACATACAACCAGCCCCTGGTGGAAATTAAGAACAGGTCAAAATTTTGTACACAGAATAATTTTTACATCCGTGGCTTCGCTGGCGCAATTTGAAAACGAATTTTAATACAAAATGAATGGGAAATTGGACGAGATCGAGGCTTGACAAGCATCCATAGCCGTCCAAGGCAACAATTTTAATATATTCCCTATTAAATTTTCTCCGTTCAGGAAGCGAGGTATTACATACTACTGTTTCTAAAAGTGAACCTCCAAATTTGTCGTACTTTTCACTCTAATCTACGCCTTTCAGACATTTTTTGGTATTCACAGAGCGCTGCTGTCAAGTTCAAATTAACTGAAAACGGAATAAAATTTATACCGGCAACATATGCGATTTGTAATTCGTGGCAAGCATAATTTGAATGCATCTATAGTATACCGGCCATAGCAAATGGATGAGCAACGATTGTGATAACCGCAGCGATACGATACATAGTTACCAATACTATGCTGGCTATACGCCTAAAAATATATCTGCACTATAGAGATAGCGCGCGGACGCCCGTGACGAGCTGCAGTAAAATACTGCTTGGTTATTCTGCGTATACAAGATCTCGGCTTGCAAGGACGGGGATGGAATGAGGGATGATTTGGACGTATTAACGGTAAATTAAAGGAAAGTTCAAACGCTGCGGTTAATTAAGGTAATTAGAAATGTCGGCGAGAAAATCTCCCAGTTCATAAACTTCAAGATAAAGACTATATATAAATGTTTTGTTCAATTCGTATACTGTGATCTATCACTAGAAGATCAGTATATACTGTGGTCTATCACTAGAAACATGAATGCAGTTTTGCGAAACCATAAATTGGGACTTAATATCTATTTCCGTACATCGTGCAAAATTATTCCGCCTCTTAATATCTTGTACTGGCAAAGCGGGATCGCATATATATATATTATCAGTCGGTTAGATAATTTGGTATATTGTGAAAAGGTAAAGTTCTTGTTATATATTATCGGTACAAAAAGAAGCCAACTGCATGTTCGGCTTTACAAAGAAAA